GATCCTGGATAGAGTGGGAGCCAAATGTGGAACAAAAGTCAAAATCACAGAAAATAACAGGCTTACTGGGAGCTCTGGTAGCGTACTGCCTAAGGCACTTGATTGCTAACCAGAAGGCTGGTGGTTCAAACCCATCAGCCACTCCTCAGAAGGAAGGTTGGACAATCTACTTCCATAGTGATACTGCCTCAGAAACCCAAGGAGGGGTCGCTATGAGTCGGGTCTGACTCAACGGCACATAACAACAACAACAACAACTGGTCTGATAGAGACTGGTGAAACCACCAAGACTATGGCCCCTAGTCACCCTTTGGGCCTGAATTGAACTCAGGCCCGTGAATTAACTTCCAGCCAAACAACAGACAGGCCTGTGAGATGAACAGTGACACCAGGGAGGTGCGCTCCGTAGAATAATCAACCATGGGAGACCAGCAGGGCAACATTTGCACAGGGAGAAAGCTCAGAGAGCAGGAATGCATAGGAAAGAAGGACACAGGGAAAAGGTAACCACAGGCAGGAAGTGGAAAGAAAGCTGTTACATTATGGGGATTTGCAATCAATGTCGTGAAATAAAATATGTATGAACTGTTGTATGGAAAACGAGTTGGCTCCATAAATTTTCAGCCAGATCACACACACACATACACACACACAAACACTAAAAATAAAATACAATTTAGAAGGTAAAAAACAAACAAAAACAGTGGACAAAATGTAATGCCCCTTCACGATCAAAGGATCCCGTGGGTAGCACAAGCAGTTCAATGCTCAGCAGCTAACTGAAAGGTTGAAGGTTCAAGTCTACCCAGGAGTGCTTTGGAAGAAAGGCCTGGTGATCTGCTTCCTGAATTCAGCCAATGAAAGCCCTGTGTTCACAAAAGTCTGATCCACAGCTGATCATGGAGATGGTATAGGGTGGGGCAGAAAAACCAAACCAAACCCCAAGAAGCATGGTGGTACTCCAACGCACATGGGGTTCCCACGAGGTGGGATGAACTCAGTGACAATTGCTGTTTCTGGTTTTAAGTGTGTGAAGCTGGGTACCAGATGCTTCACCCACACCATCTCGGTCAATACCCAGGACAGCCCGACTCACCTGCTGCTTTCATTATACCCATTTCACCAATGAGAAGAGCACAGAAGAGAGAGGCTGGAGCCAGGAAGTGGCCAACACAGGCTGGCTCCAGGGTCTGCGTGTTCCACCCTCATGGGGTTGACCTTGGCCCTGGCCTGAAGTCCTGTTTCTGGGTGGGAGTGTGCTTGGGTGAGCCGCTCATCCAAGGCCTGGGGCCTGCCCTGCATTCCCCATTGGGCCCAGCTTCCTCCCTTCCCCTTCCCTGCCTTGTTTTCTGCCTGCAGACCCCGAATTATCTCATCCAGGAACAGAGCTGGTGGCCAAGGATGACTGCCCAGATTCTACCACTCTGCTCACCACTGCACACCCGGGGCACACAACAGGTCCTCAGTGAACACTGGGAGACTAGATGGTCATGCCAATGGGTCAGAAGAGAATGTGGGGTGCAGGGGGAGAGAAGGAAACCAAGATGAGGGAGAGAAAAAGACAGATTGGGAAAAGTGGAGAGCACTTACAAAAGAGATGACAGAGAAAGAGATCAGAGGGCAGAAGGGGAGACGGACAGTGAAGGAAAGACACCGAGATGCATACACACATGTACAGACACACAGACACGTGGATAGGGGGACACACACAGACACATATGGAGAGAGCCACACACAGCCACACACACAGTTGGAGAAAGAGACATAGATGCACACACCCCAAATACAGAGACACATACACACATGTGTAGAGAGGGACACACAAACACACAGACACATGGAGAGAGGCACGCACAGACATGTACACAGATTGAGAGACACACACAGACATAGCCCCAAAGTACACACAGAGACAGACATGCCCAGACACAGCTAGAGACACACACTAGAGGGAGTCACAGAGACACACATGGATAGATACATACAGAGACAGACTCACCCAGACACACAGATAGACACACACAGCTAGAGAGAGACACAGAGATACACATAGATAGATACACACTGCCCCCAAATACAAAGACACACACAGAAATAAAGACAGACACACGCACAGTACACAGAGAGACAGACACACACACACAAAGAGGGTCACACACACACAGATTTAGACACACACAGAGACTCAGGTCAAGGTAGAGCAGTGAAGACTAAAGACATTGGAACAAGCCCCAGAAATCATAACACGCAACTCCCACACTTCACAGATGGAGAAACTGAGGCCAGGTGGGACCAGTGACGCGACAGAGTGGCATGGTACACTACCAGCAGAGCTAGCAGAGGGACCTAGGGGACTCACGCTGTTGCCCCTAGGTGGGGGGTCTGCACAGGTTCCTGCCTCTTCCTGGGGGGCTGAGGTCCAGACACCCAGTCTCCCCACACAGCCCAGCTCTGCTGGAGATCCCCCTGGCCTGCGGCCATCTGTGCCCTCAGCACCCCTCACTTCCCTTTCATCCTGGGCCAAGGCCTGGCGTGGGGGGCAGGAACCACAGGACACAGAGCATTGGAGCTGAGATGCCTGCGGTGGGGACCACCCACGAGTCTGGGCTGCGAGCCAGGCCGCCTCGTCTGCAGGCAGTTCCGGACCCCCTTGGACAATGAGCCACCTGTCAAAGGGCCAGGTGGGGGTGGAGGTGGGGTCACCCTCTGTGTTAGCGCCCCTCTGAGCTCCCATAATCCTCATTTTGCCTCTCAGCCTCGGTCTTCTCATCTGTAAAATGGACCTGGGGATTTGCGTTCTTTTACTGAGCCCAAGCTCTTGCAGACTCTGCTCTCTGGTTCTTACTGTTGAAGTAGTTGTTGGAGTGAACAACTCTGTGTTGTGACGACTCCGTGTGTGCAGGGTCGATCCGCTCT